TCTGGTTGTGGATAGGATTTTCCATCATGAGTCTTTTAGAATTGTCTTGGATTGTTGTATTGCTGAGAAGAAGTATGTATATCATAGTTGATCCTCTCACAGTGTTGCTGTGTATAATATTCTCCTGGTTCTGCTTACTTCACTCAGCATCAGTTCAAGTAAGTCTTTCCAGTATTTTTTGAAATCTGCCTGCTCATCACTTCTTATAGCACAATACCACAAGTTGTTCAACCATTCCCCAACTAATGTTGCCACCACAAAAAGAGCTGCTATAAATATTTTTGTGCATATGGGTCCTTTTTCCTTTTTTATGATCTCTTTGGAATACAGACCTAGTAGTGGTAATCCTGGATCAAAGGGAGTGCACAGTTTTATAGCCCTTTGGGCATATTCTAAATTGCAATGAGAGGTAATCTTAGAATGAAGGCCCTAGTATTGGGGAGGGTGTTGGAGAGAGGGACAGAAAGACATCTTGCAAAAGGGAGGATTTGAGCAAAGTCTTTAAGGAAGCAAGAAGCTAGGAGGCAGAGACAAGAAGGGAAAGCATTCCAGGCTTGAGGGACAGCCAGTGAAAAGGCATAGATTAAAAAGCTTTGAGTTTCCTTTACGAGGGAAAGCAAGAAGGGCAATTGTCACTGGATCATAAAATGTAAGATTGGAAAGTTAGGAAGGGGCCAGGTTGTGAAAGGCTTTAAAAGCCAAACAGAGGATTTTATATTTGTTTGATCCTGGAGGTAACAGGGAGTTACTAGAATTTATTGAGTAGGGGAGTGACATAGTCAGACCTGCATTTTAGGAGAATCACTTTGATTGTGTTGTAGAGGAGTAGGGAGAGATTGGAAGCACGGAGACCAACCAGTAGGCTATTGCAATAGTTCAGGCATGAGCCTGAACCAGGCTGATGGATGTGTGAGTGGAGAAAAGGGGACATATACAAGAGATGTTGTGAAGGTAGAAATGACGGGATTTGGCATCAGATTGGGATTCAAATACATATCTTTCTGACACCAAGCCTAGAACTCTGTTAGGCCAAGCTACTTCTTAGTGGTTAATAATGGACTTTTTTTTTTTTTAAAGTGCAGCATAATGGATAGGGTTCTGGCCTTTGGAGCAGAAGACCTGGGTTTGAATATCACCTTTGACTAGCTGTGTTACCAGGCATAAATTGCTTAACGTCTTTCAGTCTCAGTTTCTTCTTCTGTAAAAGGGAAAAATAATACTTATAGTACTTATCTTACAGTTTTTGAGGATCAAGTGAGATAACATATGTTAAGGGCTCTGGAAAATGTAAAGTGTTATGTAAATGTCAGGTATTATTATTGCCTGAAAATCTCACTAGCCATTGAGGGTAGGAGGGAATGCCTGGAAGAGAATACCTCCTTGATGCCTTGAAATCTAAAGGAGACACACTATCTGAGGATGGGTAGAGAAAGCAAGCCAAAGGAAGGAGACAGACTACTGAAGTTCACAATCAGTGGTGTGGGACCTGGGCTAGAAAGTACAATAGTACTAGGAGATGTGGGTTCTTGGGCACTCATGACTTTGCAACAGCCTGTGTGGGAATGAAAACAGAACTGTGGTCCTTTCCTAAGGATGAGCCATCTGAGAGGGAAATGTGCATGTGGCTAGATCCACAAATAGAATGAATGACTTGTAGTCTGGAAGGCCATGAAGAGCAAATTCTGCAGCTCCCCACCTTCCCCACACATACACTCCAAGAGCCTGTTTTTTATTTTTAATCTTTTTCTCAGAGTACCAAGAAATGTTGTGGGAATGGCAGATCATCTTCTATTTTGAAGTATATGGATAGAAAAAGCAAGTTTCATTTATTATTTTTTTATTGATTTATTTTACTTTATCAACAATCCATAAGCTTTTGAGTTTTAAATTTTTCTCCCCCTCCCTTCCAAATCCCTCCCCAAGAGGGTTCTGCTCACTTCACTCTGCATCAGTCCATACAAATCTTTCCAGGTTTTTCTGAAGTCTGCTTGCTCATCATTTCTTATAGCACAATAGTGAAAGAGCAAGTTTCTACCTTTCTTTTATGATCTCTGTACTTGCTGGAAGAATCTCCTCAGGGTTTTGGCTGGGTGGAAGTGGTAGGGTAGGTAGTGGTCAGGAGAAAAGGGGAAGAGGGGGACAAGTGTTACTTCATCTTTCTGGGCCTCAGATTTTTCATCTATATAGTGAGTCAATTGACCTAGATGATCCCTAAGGTCCCTTCCAGCTCTAAATCCTTTAAAGCTTAGCCCTAAGGAATGATAACATTTCCTGTTCTCCATGAGGCAAACACCATCACCATTATAAGTTCAGCATGGTTCATTTGCTTTTTTTCTTAAAACAGCCCCACTTTCAAGAACATACATATACATACATACATATAGATGTACATATATACACACATACATATATAAGTATACATGCTATATCATATTTCCTATTCTTTAAATTATGTTATATATGTGTATATATATATAAACATTGTCATTTCCTCTATTTTCCTCTCTCCATCCCCATCCAGAGAACCATACCTTAAAACAAGGATAAAAAAGAAAGAGATGGAAAAAATAACTTAAGAAAACTAACCAATATATCAGCCAAGCCAGGCGTTATATGCAGTGTTTCATACTCATCATCTCTTGCCTATGCAAAGAAAGGAGAGAGGTGTATGTATCCACATACCCTCACTATGGGGCCAAACTAGGTCATTATAATTACATAATAGTCAATTTCAATTTTCTTTGTTGTTCTTCACATTGCTCCAATCATTGTGCATATTGTTTCCCTGGTTTTCTGTCTTCACTCTCCATCTATTCCTATAAGTCTTCCCATGTTTCTCTGTCTTTTTATAACCATTGTTTCTTACAGTTCCATAGTATTCCATTATATTCATGTATCACAACTTGTTTAGTCAGTCACCAGTCAACGGGCATCTCCTTTTTTTTTTTTCCTGTTCTTTGCTATTATAAAAAGTGCTGCTAGAAATTCCTTCCTTCCTTCTTTCCTTCCTTCCTTCCTTCCTTCCTTCCTTCCTCCCTCTTTCCCTCTCTTTCTCCCTCCTAAGGATATATGTCTAGAACAGAAATCAAAGGGTAAGGACACTTTTAATCAGGAAGTGTGTCTTTTAAGGAGGCTTTGCAAAAAGAATATTCTTCATTAGACTGCAAGTCTAGAATTTTGGTTCATCAAATGGGGTCAGTTTAGCTTCTTTGAGTTCTCCATTTTGTGCTCCTGAAAACAGAGAATCCAAAGACTCCTTCACCCGAGTTAGTATCATAAAAACAGCAATGCAGAGAATGCCTGTGCATACATGGTTTTGAAAACATCTTTTTTAAGTAGGAACTGAAACATGGATTCACACCACGCTAGCCTGGCACTGGCTTAGCCCTCCTCTCAAAGGTGGCAAGTAGAGGTATGGGGTATATTCCAGCCTAACTTTCCTAGAAGAGAGTATCTGAAACTTATTATTTTAAACAGGAAATGAAAACCAAGGGCTGTGAGTTGTGAAAAGGAAGAGTAAGAACGTGGCATAACTGACTTTCAACTCCTGGCAACACCATAAAGGTATCAGAGAGTGACTGGACTGGACGTTTGCTTTGGAAAGCAAAAACAGAAGCAAAGACTGGACCAAAGTGATGAAAGAAACATGAATCGTTTGGGGTTTTTCTGATATCCTGGGTAACCCCATCATGGCACTGGACATGATGAGTATGCCTAGAAGTTTTACAAAGCATAAAAACAACCCTCAAAGCTAAATGAAAGTGAAACTGAATCACCGAGCCCTCAAGTCATCATCAACTCTCGGCGAAGGTTGTGAACTTTGACTTCTAGGATGTCTTAAAAACAGGAGGGACTGCCAGTAACCACTGAATCTATGGGGTTGGATCGCTGTCATAGAATCTGGAGCTGGAAGGGTCCTTAGAAGTAATCTTGCCCAGCCCTTCATTTTACGGATCAGATCTAGAATCAGCAGGAATTCAGGCAGTTGCCTATGGTCACACACGTAGAAAGCATAGCTGAGAGTCAAATCCTACACCTTGGACTCTAAATCTCTCCATGCATGACCTTTTTAAAAGGGAGGAGAAAGAGAAAAGCGCTCAAGAAAGCTTGTTTTGTTCTCAAGTTAAAAAAAAAAAAGATCAAGGCAGGAAACCCTTCTTCTACCCTTTTCATTTACCCACATCCTTAACCTGAGAGAGTGACTCAGAATCCTCCGCCTCAAAACTTAACCCCAAAAGTTAAGCTGATTTTGGGGGGCGGGGCAGGGAGGGCCCAAAGGGTTAAATCGCAAAGGCAAGAGAAGGGCGGAGAAAAGGACTTTGCAACCGCGTTGGCCACTCCCCAAAGGGGAAAGGGGTGTGGGGGAAACCCCTAGCGCCTGGAAGAAAGCCTATTAGAATCGAGGCTCGCTGGGCGAGGCCTCCAGGGGGCAGGCGATTCTGGAGACTTGCAGCGGGGTGCAAGCCCAGCCCCTGTTGCTTCTGCGGCGTTTGCGGCGTCAGCAGCCTTGCCAGTTTGCCCTGCGGCGCCCGCAGCTCCTGCGCTCGGTCCGGTCCCCGCGTGCCGACCCCGCACCTCCACCCAGGCTCCCTCAGTCTCCTGCCCAGCCAGCGCCTCCGGCATGTGCGCTGCCCACATGACGCCCCTGGCGCACATCTTCAAAGGGACTTTCGTCCATTCCACCTGGACCTCTCCCATGGAGGTGCTGCACGACCACATCCTCGGCGTGAGCGAAGCTGGCAAAGTAAGCGTCTGGGCTGGGTGCGCGGGAGAAGGTGGTCTGGGACGGGCAGAACCCCAGGAAGTGGGGGAGGGGGGGCTGGGTGTCGAGGGCTGGGACTTCGCTCCTGGTCCGTGACAGGCTGGAGCCAGGCGGAGGAGAGTGAACTCCGGGATGCTGAGAAAGGACGGAATGAGAGCAACGCGGGAGTTGAACGTGACCGAGCCTGCCTCTTTGCCACGTCTGGCTGAAATGCACCCCGATTACCCTGGCATCAGGTTTAGCCCCGGGTTTTGTTAGTTTCTAGAAACCTCACAGTTTGGTGTAACATCTGTCACTTTCCCCGGGCTCCGTTTTCTCTAAGCTGGAGGACAGGTAGCAGTGGCCGGTGCTGAAAAAGAAAACCTGGGACTTGATCATTGCTTAGGAAGAAATGTGTAAACCTAGGGGAAGAGAGGGCGTTGGGCTGCTTGAGTAGACGCCACTAAATGACTAATTACTTGTGTTACCAGCTCTGATTGCATAGAAGTGAGCTGGTGCTTCCTGTAAACCGAAAAACAACTTGCAATATTTAAAAAAAAAAAAAGGGAAGGAAAGAAATTATTTTATAACAATGACTGTTTTCATCGGTACCGCACTTGTATAGTTTACACTAAGTTTAGGGAAGTGGAGACTTCCCTGTCGCCATACAGAATAGGAATGAATCTGGGAGTACCCCAAGTTCACCCCTGATCTCTAGTGTTGCAAGCAAAAACAGAGCTACACCTGGATGACTTGTCAAACCTAAGAAAATGTATATATCTATAAATGCTAGCAAGGGTATTTTCAGTTTTGAATCTTGCCTCTGAAATCTAATGATTAACCAAAAAATTCATCCCTTTAAGTGTTTTAAACATGATTTAAAAAAAAAACCGTACAAATAAACATCCTGGCTGTGGATTTCTAGGAGATCTGCTATTGTGTTACCTAGGTGATGGAGCACAGCTTCCAGAAACTTGAAGATAAAATGCACTCTCCCTGGACTGGTTGGTTGCTTTAGGGAGGTGGAGGTAATAAGTTTATGATACTGATGGACTCATGATGTTTGACCCCAGAATCATGCAGATTGGAGTAGAAAGATAAAATTTTTTTCTTTATGTGAGAAAAAAAGATAATTTTTTTGTACCCGGGTACAGTGCTTTGCATATCATGGGTACCCCCAATTTTTTAAATTAGTGATTGAGTTGAATTAACCACTGAAACTGTGCTATGGTTAATTACACTGGACTACCACCTCATGCTCTCAGGGAAGGTTTGGCACTAAGCTAGTTTGGAAGAGGTAGCTGAAATTTTCACTGAAAAATGTAAGAGCAAGATTTGGGTTAAAATCCCTCCTTTGAGGTATTGTATGGCCTTGGACAAGTCACTTAACATGTCTGAGCCTTAATTCCTTTATCTGTAAAATAAAAATGTTAATTACACTTGCCCTACCTACCTCCCAGGGATGCTGTGTGGGAAGTCTTTAAGCTCTAGATAGATGTGAGAGGTTACTGTGAAAACTTAAAAATGTGTCAGATGCAACATGGTGCTGGATTTGAAGCCCAAATTTGAAGCTGGTTTCAAAGCTGCCTTATCTTGAACCTCAGTTTCCTCATTTGTAAATGAAGGAGTTGGACTAGTTTATCTCTGAAGGCCTTTTCCAGCTCTACAGCTGTGGTTTCTACATTAATTCATCACAACTAGCTGTTTAGCTCCTCTGTTTAGCTCTGTCCATTTTTTCAGAATTTGGTTCAATATGGGGCAGGCTCAGGGTGATGGATGGTGACTGAGAAGGATAGAGAAGAGAGATTTAATCATCTACAGAAATTAGTCACATTTTTTCTAGGTTCTACAGAAGGATTTGAAGATAGGGCTTAAGTAGCACTACTGGTAATTACCAGTTAAAATTCAAAGCAATATTTAGATAGCATTTCACAGCTCACAGTGTTATATCAAGCTAAGTAAAAATTGAATGAATGTAAGAATGTAAGGTCAGGGTGATTGGTACATTAAAATAGTTGATCAATGGATCAAATGTTTAGTGAGCTTCTGTTAGACACAAGGCACAGCTCCAATTAGAGCTCTTGCTAAGGAATTTCTGTATAATGTTTGGTGCATCATGTATCTTTAGTATTTTTCCTCAGTTCTAAGTTGCTGGATACCTTTGCTTCTATAGCATTGCTATGATGAATCATTTATTAATTTTTTTAAATGCATGGAGCTCTGGGGGGCTAGAAAATGTCTTCCCATGTGAACACACGAATACTCTGAATCACATCATCTACTAATCCTTTAAAGAACCCCTAGAGGGTGTGTAAGTAGCACTGAACAGGTGCTAGGCTTGTGTGTTGATTGTGAGCTCAATTCTCTTTAAGCCAAAGAAGGTGAGAGGTACCTGGAGCAAAAGAACTGTCCTATGCTCAGCCCCACCTCCACATGGATTTCTTCTCTCCTCTTCTCTTCAATCTTAAGCTGGGCATTACATTACTTTTAGAGTAGGAAGAAAGAGCATGCGACCGTACCTTCTACCCCAGTCATAGAAAGCCAAAGCAAGAGTATCTCTGTATGCATGGAGATTTTCAGGCCCAAAGAGTGACTCACCATAGTAATTAAAGGTCAATCAGAGTGAATTCATCAGAAAACTAAATGAAAGCTAGTCAGCTAAATAAGCTAATTAAAAAATCTTACATTTCATACTTGTATTTTATATATTAGACTAAGCCAGAAACAGATTTTGTAGCTGCCTGGTGTGTGTGTGTGTGTGTGTGTGTGTGTGTGTGTGTGTGTGTGTGTGTGTGTGTACACTGGAGGCTTTTCTAGAACTAAGATATAGATTATGTATGTGTGTGTGTGGGTATACACACACATCTATGCATGCATATGTAATATGTATATGACACATGTGTATATATGTATATGATATATACATTCATCATATACATGCACATGATATAGCACTCAGGAGCCATGAGCATAGTATCTTGCTCATAGTAAGTACTTAAATAGTAGGGCAGTTGAGTGGTGAAGTGGATTGAGTTCTGGGCCTAGAGTCAGGAAGACTCATCTTTCTGAGTTGAAATCCAGCTTCAGATACTTCCCAGCTGTGTGACCCTGGGTAAGTCACTTAATCCTATTTGCCTCAGGTTTCTCATCTGTAAAATGAGCTGGAGAAGAAAATGGCAGACCACTCCTCCATCTTTGCCAAGAGAACCCCAAATGGCATCACAAAGAGTTGGATAGGACTGAAAAAAATGACTAAACAATAAAAAAGTGCTCAGTAGATCATAGACTCATAGATTTAAAGTTGAAAGGGACTTCAGAGGCCTAGCCCTATCCTTACATTTTACAAAAGAAGAAACAGAGACCTCAGGAGGCTAAGTGACTTGTCCAAGGTCACATGGGTAGTAAACATGAGAGGTAGAATTGAACCAAGGCCCTCTGATTCCAGATCCAGTGCTTTCAAGATATGCTTAGGGATTGGTGGTTGGAGCAAATTCATTTGGATGGCTGGGGTGGTATGGACACTGCCACTTGTGGTTGAAGTAGACAGGATACAGGTAATGGGAGTTCAGCATGTTGAGGATAGTGAAGAGCTGGGAGGCCAGAGTATTTAGAGGGAACAAGGATTGTAATGGATACTAACTGAGGATCCAGAGTGGCCTAGAAGTACTGAAATGACTGACTTCACTCAGAGGATCTGAGCTCAAATCTTATTCTAGTCAATCAATAATCAAGAGGCATTTATTAAGCATCTGTTGTGTGCCAAGCACTGTGTCATGCCTTAAGGATAAAATACAAAGACTAAAACAAGCCCTATTCTCAAATAACTTATATTCTAATTAATAAGAAAGGAAACTGACATTTATTAAGCACCTACTATGTGTCAGGCACTGTGCTAAGCACTTTAAAAATATTCTCTCATTTGATCCTCACAGCAATCCTGGGAATTAGGTGCTATTACCTTCATTTTACAGAGGAAGGTACTGTGATAGACAGAGGTTAAGTGTTTTCTTGCCCAGGATCTCATTGCTAGGTAGCTCTGAGGCTAGATTTGAACTCAGATCCTGACTACGGGGCTGGTGCCCAAAGCAGTGAGCCACCTAGTGGCTATCTAGGTGAGGGAAACAATAAGTACATATAAGCATATACAGAATAAATATAGTGAGAATACAAATAAATGCAAAGAAATTATGTAGAAGGTGGTTTGGGAAAGAGGAGTTGGGGGAGGGATCAGAAAAAGCTTCATGTAGAAAATGGTGCTTGATCTGAGTCTTGATAGAAGAGTGGGGTTCTGTGAGGCAAGGGTTTGTGTCGGGCATTGAATATAGAGATGGGGCATGGAGTGTTGTGCATGAGGAACAAAAGGAAGAGCAGTTTGTCTGGATCTGGATATAGGAGTGTACAGTAAGACTGGAAAGATAAATTGGGGCCAGGTTGTGGAGGTCTTGAGAAGCTAACCAAAGGAATTTATTTTTATCTAAGAGGCATTGGATAGCCATTGGAGTAAGATAGTCAATTTTGCACTTAAAGAAAATAATATTGGCAATAATATGGAGGATAGTCTGGAGTAGAAAGAGACTTTAAAGCATTGAGACCAATTAGTAGGCTGTTGTAGTAGTCCAGGTGAGAGGGGATGAAGGTGGTGGCAGTGTGAGTAGAGAGAAGGGGTTGAATGAGAGGGATGTTGGAGATGCAAAGAGTGAAGGCAACAGATGTAGACAGCTTTTCCTAGGAGTTTAGCTGAGAAAAAGGAGAGAGAGTTTGAGGCCATATAGGACCTAATGAAGATTTAATAAGGATGGGGACCCAGACTTGGACATGTTTCAAAAGACAGTAGATAGGGACAGTTTGAAAGTTGGAGAGAGAATATGACCGTGCTTGCAATCTGCTGGAGAAGACTAGGGGTGGGGGTGGAGGATAGGATCAAAGGCATATGTAGAGAAGGGTCATCTCATAAGAGACTGGGAGATAGGAGGAGAAATTGGGTTTGATGTCAAGGGTTTTGA